ATATATATATATATATATAGTTTTATATGCAGTGCTTGTGCTGGTCCAGCACAAAAGCACAACAGTAGTGAGTTAGACATAGACACCACTCCTCTTTACCACAATCGCATGAAAGGAAATTCACTGTCATGCTCCTCACGAAGGCAAAATGAATATTGAATTTTGATCACCTTGTAACTTGTGCAATACAACCTATGATGTAAAAGCCACAGTCAAAGGGGGGAAATCTGGCTTACTCACACTGGAAAATTATCTTCTTTTCTTTTTTTCTACTACAGGCTCATTTTTCTTGGGAAAGAGAAACCTAACGTAAAATCGGTTTACACTGTTTCTTTTGCTAATTAACAGTATGTTAGTTTCATTAGTGAATTGCCTGTTTTTCTTAACTTAAAGGTGCAAAAAGTCCTGCTCACTTGTGTGCCACACATTGATGTAATATTTGGTAGTAAGACTTTCTGCATGATAAAAATCTTAACCAAGGTTAAGATAAGGTTTTCTCTCAGCTTTCAGTATGGAGTTTCAGTGACTCCTAAAGCCACACTGTCACTTCTGTGAAGCCAAAATTGCAGTTTACTTCCTTTGTCAGGAAAAGCTACGATGATACCATCATTTCTTTAACCTCTAAAAACAAAACTGTTTCAACAAATACACTTGAGCTCAGCTTTAGATGACTTCTGTATGGGGTGTCAGAGTGGAAAACTTTTACCTTGCATTGCAGTTCTAGACATATACAGTGCATACAGTTCTAATTACCCATTCATTCTAATGGGTATTTAGTACGTTAGTAGCTTACTGGTATTTTCCTTTGAAATGAATGTCATGCAATGAGTAATGCTATACTGTAAATGCACTGTGTGTGTTTTTCTTTTTTTTATGCCAGCTTTTTAAAAAAAAAAATAATTTTAAAGTTGCCTTGACACAGTTCTCAAGTAGCTATTCACCTGAGAGTCACCAGCGTGGGCAGGTCTCACATTTCCTTCACCCACAAATTACAAAGAAGTGTCAAGCCCCAGCCCCTGTCTTTACACAGGTTCACTTCTTCCAAACCACAACACTGACGGGTAGTCCTGCTTACCCAGATTACTGTGAAAACTCTGTGTGGCTGTACAGTGACAGTTTGCCATTGATGCTTCCAACACACATAACTCATCTTGGTAGTGGTTCCTCTGAAGTCAACTGCTCACATACCGCTACTGTGGTAATGTACGACAACTCATATTAAACCAGACTTTAATCAAGTTGCATTCTGAGTGTGCTTTTTGTTTAGTTCAGTAACGCTTTGATTCATTCAACAAAACAACAACATGAAACTCCTTAAAATGCAGAGATTAAAAGCCTCCGTAGGTGGATCAAAGATGTTACTGCATGAAATGCGCATTTGACCAAATAAAAGATAAATGTCATTTTTATCATATGACACGTGGGCGGTGGACGCACTAATGTGGAATGTGCAGATGAGCGCAAGTACCCCACACGGTTAGACACCTCGGTGAGTCAGCACTGATGATGGGTAAAGTGTCTGATGGTGATTGTCAACTGACGGCGGGTGGGACAGCAGGTGTTGAGGAGTGGGGTGTTAGGGGGGCCTGAGAGTCTTGAGATTACTGGTAGGTGAAGCCCTTTGCATCAGTTCTGGCTTTTTCATCCTATATAGTGCAAGGTGACATTTAAGCATTGGTATATTGCTAATTTCACTGAGAGGAATCGATGAGATCAGACTGTCCAGTGGTTTGAGCAACATTTGACAATAACTGCACAAACAAGGGTATGAAGAATAGCCCCCAAATGTCACCGCCTTTCTTGTAAGCATGCACACAGCACGATACCTATACGTGATAAAGTTATCACGAATGGTCAGATATCGTATATTACATCGCGGAATTGTAACGTATGGCAGTAATGCACTAATAACTGCGAGAAAACCTGTTAAATAAAAAAAAGTAAGCTGAAAAAAAACAAACCCACACAAAATGACAGTTTCTAGTTTTTTCCCTTCTTAATGCAACAACCTGTCAAACCTGTGATCACAGCCATTACAGGAAACCACCTTGTGGTTCACACTTTATGCATGTCCCTTTATCATATAGGTGAGAAGCATTTATGACGAATACTACTTAATCTTAAGTGCTTTATATTTGGAATTAAGTTCTATGTAAATGATGAACTCTTGAAAATTTTTGGGGAAAGCAGTTTGCACACTGTATTCACCACATAGGAAATGTTCACATATCCAAAACATGCTGCCAAAGTCAAAATGGATGAAAAAAAACCAACCCCCCCCCCCCAAGTTAATTTAAAGTTCTCTAAGGTAATGCATGATCGTGCATGTGGAGAAACAAGATCACTTTTTATGTGTCGCCTTTTTAATTCTACCACTCTGAACAGAGTCAAGTGGGGTTTTTTTTTTAATATGCTATTCATTTCTTTTTTGTCTTAATATGCAAACAGAAACCTTGCAGAGAAAAAATTCTTGAGCAAGATCTTATCTCTGCTTAAAACAAACTACTCACCACAAACCA